ATAACAATAATTTATAAATAAAAACTTACATAAATGAAGCCTCTACTTCTCTATGTTTCATCTAAGATATATATCTAGTTAATTAATACAACTCAATCAAGATTTCAATATTGTAAATAGTTTTGGATCTAGTATTGTTAAAGGATTACGATGTTACGCTTCACGTCATACATTTAGAGTCTGAGAAACTATTTGCTAAATCGAAATTCTACTGCCAACTTGATTTCAAGTTTAAGACGAAATAATTAGCTTTATTTACGAAGGAATTCTCAGACTAAGTTCGATTTATTTGCAGATATTCTATTTTTAAATAATTTATTAGGTTTATTTTTAAATACCTTTTTTGTACATTTACGATACGGGTGTAGTTACTTATCAGTTCTTTGAGGAAAAGAAAATAATAATGAAGTATCTTCTTTTCCCAGTAAAATATAATATAACCCAAAAACCCACTGAGCTCTAATGAATGGAATAGCACACTATATATTTTTTTTTATAACAGAAGTGGGGAAAGGAGCAGCGGGAACACCGAGGAGTTCAACGACGCCCATGGACATCAGCAATACCAGAGGAACCGCAGATGCGTTGCCGGCCTTTGAGATAGTGATACGCTCGCTTCTTGAAGGACCCTAAGTCGTAGCGGTTTGGAAATACCGCCGACAGACCATTCCACAACGCTGCTGTACGAGGCAGGAAGTTTCGTGCAAACCGCACGGTTGTGGGTTACCAGCCATCGAGATGGTGTGGATGGAACTTGGCGGTCTGTCGTGTCGTCCGATATATTTGTAAAATTTTATATTTTAACTAAAAAAACCGTAAAAGTATATGTGCCATTATCTTTTTTTAGAATATACTGGAAAGCATCGAAAAAGTTATAACGTAAGTTTCGAACTCATTTTTTACTAATTTAAAATTTTACTTCCTACGTCCGCTCAAGGACCATGTGCCCGTGACCCCTGCGAAACAATACTAATCAAATGATACCCCACTCGTCAAAATTGGTTTAACTGTTTAGGCTCTAGGCCGTCACAAAGGAATACGCACGAAAAACCTTACCGTCTTGTCGGTCGGGTAATCAGTCGGTTAAAAAATAAATTAAAATCGATCTGATTTATTTTCTATTTTTAATCTAATCTTTTTATATACTGATTTAGATTAAAAAATACGCTGCCAGCAGTATGTTCTCTAAATTGCCTCTTACGCGTTCACAGAACGAGATGGAGAATAAATCTCCTCAATCTACAATACAAGGCAAATTAAATTAATCATGGAGCATAATTCTTAACAACTGATGCTTTGAAAATACTCGCTGATTAATATCACAATTAAAAATAACGAGAATTGAAATATTAATAACTGAAGCATATTATTTTTTTATCGCTATAATACAAATTTCAGTTGACTAAATAGAAATAACTGTTATGAATAATCAAATTAAACTAAGGTTTTTAAAAGTAAAGTTTCAATCACACTTTATATTTTGAGGTTATGTGGTCGAAGTATACGCACTAATTTAGTAAATGCCTATTCACTATACTTACTTTTGATGTTATGTTAGTATGATAAAATTTACAATAAATAGCGTAAAAGCTAATAATTGTTATAAAACGGTTATAAAGATGCTTAAGAACTTTTAATCAGTTGAATCAATAAAACACGATTAAATAGCTATTAGATAAATGGGTTATACAGATATGCAATCGGGAGTAGAATTAGTTTTAGCCGCAACCTTTCAAAGAGGACTGACTACTGAGGCGGGAGCACTCCGGACTAACGAATGAAATCAAATTACGTTGCCCGTAGCTGTCGGCAGATCGTTTTTATTTGGAAAAAAAAGTTATTCGAATTGGACTTTTAATTCATCATTTGCTTTTATCGTATTTTGTACCGTATTTTCTGTATAAGATTAAAACAAAACCATTTTGTATGGACTGCAATTATAAAGAAATATTTTAGGTTATTTCTTGTAATTAACGACACAAGTATACTGTCTTTAAGTTAGTCCGCCACCGGCTAGTTTAAAATCGTTTGGGGATCCGTCTTCTGGCTGAATGATTATTATATTCACGGTCACGTTAGATCTAGACCTAGGATAGTTGTAACGCCAACAGCCGTTTTTAATTGGTTTTGTCTCAGGTTAGTTTTTTTATAAGAGAAAAGCGCAAACGAGCGGCGGGAACACCGAGGTGATCAACGACACCCATGGACATCTGCAACACCAGAGGAACTGCAGATGCGTTGCCGGCCTTTAAGGAAATGGAACGCACGCTTCTTTAAGTCCCTTAAAAATATTTTTCACTATTACGGTCAGATACTCGCCTTTACACTTTACTTAGCGTGCACTTTCCGTTCCACGCTACTCCTTTTACCCTCTCGGCTCGTATCTTCAACTTTTTCATAATCAAAGAAGGTCAAGTGCTTGTCTTTACTGAACGACCTTGTTAAAAATTTCTTTTTCGACAGATATTTATAGATATCCCATATACATATTCCTTTATTTTTAATCGGACTCGACAAGCAAGTCTCTCAAAATATATGCTTAAATGTGAATTCGCGTGTAAAAAATTCGTAATAAACTACTTAATTGGACTTACTCACTAAGCGAACTACTTAGTCTCGAAGCACTATGAGTAGGTTAAATATAGTGTGAGACATCCATTTGAGAAAAAAAACTAAAATACTGTCAGAACTATTCTATCCTTCGTTTCAATAAAGAGCCTAAATGAAACATGAAAGCATGTCAAATTCCATTCATGGCGGCCGTTACGATAGTAACATTGACTTTTTTTACTTAGTTTGTTGGAATTGTGAGATAAAATGTACTTATTAGATATGTGTTTGAAGAAAAAGTATTTTTCCAGAACTAGTTTGTTATTTACAAGTTATATCGTAGTGTATATTTTGTCTATGGTTAAGGGTTTCTATTAGTATAAAATAAAACTCCTCGTTCCTTACTTATATCGCACTTTTTTATGATATATTTTTTAATATTTTCATTTCTATTGAAAAGAGTATAATATCAAAGTAAAAAAAAAACTTATAGCAATATAATGTTTAAAGAACGGTAACCATCTCTTTAATGTCTCAGGTACCTTTAAAGATGGTAAAGGCCAAAACCATTTGTCAAATTAAACTTTTGCTGACAAGCGGATCTCGGGCTGGGGATTAACTAATTACTTTAATTAATTATCGGCTCATAAAAGGTTTAGCTATACATTTATATATGATAGGAATCTCTTATTTGAATTCTTTAGCGAATAGTGACGTGTTGAATATACATACAAAACTATTACGTATACGTTCAGGATAAAATATAAATCGTTGGAAGCGGCGAAAGTGAGTTTTACATTCCTTATAGTGGAATCATAATTGAAATTCGACAACTATAATATTTAATTAACCATAAATTCAAATATTTCTTTCTTTTATTTAACAATTTCTTATCGTTTTTGGTTTTAGTATTTAATTATTGTTAAAATAAAAAAAAAACATAAGCTCCCTCAAAAGTATTAAAAAGTTTAATCTCAATGAGCACTTATCCAAACACAAATATTTTTAAGTGTCAAAATGAAAACATTTTTTTTTAAATCTAGCTGACACTAAGAAGGGATTTGTAATACTAAAACAAAATGATAATAAAATGATGTAAGCTTATAAAGAATAATTCAAGAACCTCTTTTCGATCCGCCATTATATTTTTATCCCATGCCTTTTCTTTTTTTAATCGCATATTCTCTGTATTGAAGTCCATTGATTATCTTCAACCTCACTGAATTCAAACCTTATTTACGTAAATATATACCTTAAACCCCTTAAGATATTATTTTGTAATTTATTATGTCGCAGAATATTTTAAATTATCAAAGCATTTAGATATATAAAACCTTATCTATCAAATATAAAATTGCGTTCCACACAAAGTTATTTGAGTTGTACGAATATTACGTACCACATCACCTACGTAACAAAGTAGATTATCGTATCTTTGATATTAAAAAATGCTTAGAAATGTCCCGCACAAAGACAGATTTGTCGAAGAAAATTAAACTCTTAATCCTTAAAAGGCCCGCCCTCATGCGAGATTCATTTTAATTGTGTTTACCAAGATCTAAACTCGGTGTAACTTTATACAAAGATTTATTAAAGGGAGAAACTTTGTGGAGTGGCGGCGTAAGGAAATCCGGCGATCCATCTCTTCTCTAGAGATGAATAAAGATTTACAAAGAATATGTAATGCAAAGAACATAATAATATTAAATTTAAAATTAAAAAATAAAAACAAGTTGTCTACTTAAAAACTAGTCTATGGTATACTATTGGATTGTACATTTAATAAAATACTCTTATAAATTAAGTAAAATGTAAAAATATAAACAAGAATTATATTGGTTAATTAAATAAATTAGCATGCTACAGTTGAAGTACGAAATAATTAAAACATATTAGTATCCGGCTCTCTAGGCTCATAAAATGTCAAAAAGCTAATTTAATTTTTCGACCTAGCGTTCTACTTTGTATGCGTTATGATTACGTTCATTTAATAAACATATTAACAAAATTAAATGTCTTTAATAACACTTGTATTCAATTCACGTATTCAATAAGTTAACCCTTATGTTCATTTTGGATAATATACCATACATACAACTTTATAAAAATATACGATCACTATAAAATTTTTAACTTAGTTTTTTTTTAACTTCGTTTTTGCTTTTCTACAAAAAAGAAATCTTGCCATATTAAGGGTTCAATATTCCTCGTTGATTAGTTTACTTAATTTGTTTATTACTTGAAATACTTAATTACTTACATTAAGTATGCACCGATTGCTCATATCAAAATCTAATAAGTATATGGGCAACGGTCACTTCGCTATTTCAGCGATTTCAGGTGGCCGCTCGCTCGTTTGCCGCCTTATGATATAAAAAAAAAGTACTATGCTACAAGTACCAAAATATTTTATTAATTTTTATTATTTTTAATTTTCAAGTCAAAAATAATAATTTCCTATTAAATAAATGAAAAAATATATTTCCTTTACCAATGCGAAACTTATTACAACTCAATTTTGGCCGAACAGAGGGAAATTCGTTCAGAATTGATATAGACGAAAAGGGGAAGAATACCTTTGAGAGCGCTGTTACACAATTTTCTCGACGTACCCTTTTCGTTCGGTACTCCACCTTTTTGCTCCTTAACGTCTGTTTTCCACCTTTTGTACAATCAAAGGTCAAATACTTTTGCATTTATTGATCGTATTTGAACTGATTTTAGATTTGTTAAACTCTATTTCCTTTGTCGTGTCGTAAGCAAAAATTTAGTTGGTCTAAGATTGTTTTTGCAGTGCTTTAAGATTAGTAGATTTATTTAAACTCTCTGATATTTCCGATTTGCCAAACTATACATCAAATATGGAGGTACAAAGTATTTTTGCATACAAAATATTATAATGGCACTCCAATACCCAATAGGTCACAATGTACCTGCAATAGCAGAGTAAATTAAAAATTAAAAAAAGTTTAAGAAACAAGATAATTAGAGATACTTCAACTATCTATTTGAATTATTGTAATAAGAAATTAGTTCGTTTATAATACGTACATGATGATTTATTATTGTTAATATAAAATAAGGTATAAATCTAAGGTATAAATTTCAATCAAAATTTCATGTCACAAAAATACGGACGGATATTGAGATTTTCAATTTCGCATGTTGCTTACTCACTTCCTTCGACTTTTTGACATCAACGCATATACATGGATGTATTTAATTCAACCCGTCTTTAGTAAGCTATTAAACTGGTCGATAAACGGTGGTATAAAAAAGTACCTATACCCCTCGTCGACTCCATTCCTCATTTCCGCATCATAAATTTTATTCTTCACTTTTCGAATTTGGCCTTTCTCAATTTGTTAACCCTATAAAAATATTTATAGATTTTCCTATCCTATAGTATTATGAAATTTGAAACTTCGGAAAAAGATTCATCGAAAAAAAAATTGCCTATAGAGTTACGAATTCATATGTGACAAAACAAGTAATTTTTGCTTACTAGTAACCCTTTGGGAGCGTCGGTGGCCCAGTGCAATGTGACTTGCAATCTGCAGGTTATTGGTTTGAATTCCGCCATGTACCAATGTGTTTTGTCGATTTCCGATTTACATTTGTACATACAACGGACATTCTTACGGTGAAACACATCATATTGCAACCTGCACATATCTGCGAAAAAAAATCAAAGATATTATGTGTTAGGCCAACCAACCCGCACTGGGCTAGCGTGGTTGATTACGGCCTAGTCACCCCTGCCCATGGGTAGACTCCGAGCCTCTCAGTAGACATAAAGTTGGCTGATGAAAGATGTGGAGAACGTACGGAACTAATTTCTTGTAATGGCAACAGCATTATCATTTTAAAAAATCGTTGCCATTTTATTAGATTGTCAAAGTATTTAATTGTAATTTCAGTGCAACTTTTGAGTTTGTGATATTTTGATGTGTTGCCATTTTATTAGATTGTCAAAGTATTTAATTGTAATTTCAGTGCAACTTTTGAGTTTGTGATATTTTGATGTGTTAACATGTAGAAAAACATTTTAAGTCTAAAATACTGGACTTTATTTTTAAATGATATAAGTTCGCCGTACGTATATCTATAATTCTGAGTGCCTCAGGCGGAAAGGAAATTAATTATTTGCAAAAATTTAACTTACTCTATTAGAGGTAGAAGTATTTCGGTAATTATTTTGATATATACAACTGGCAATACTTTAAATATCGACATAGGACGCCAGGCGAGAATATTCAAGAAAAAATTTAATTCAGTTTGTTTTCGACAGGTTTCACAAGTAAGAATTTTTATTGAAGATAAAGTATAAAATATACCGTTTTAGAATCTTTTAAAGGACTACATTATAATATAATATAGTATTGTATGTGTTTGAAATTAAATTGATTGTCACTTTTACCGGTAGGACTCAGACTTCGAAGATGAGTTGCCCTTTCAATGATGAGCAATTAATGCAATTGCAAGCATTTATTGAGCTGTGTAAAACTCAACCACAAATTCTACATCACCCGAGGCTATCGTTCTTCAAGGAATACCTAGTCTCTCTTGGAGTTACAATTCCGACGGCCACTTTCGGCACCAAGCACTTTACTCCTTCTGGAGATGGGTATGTTGCATCCTTTTTTGTCAAATTCTAAGTCCGATATTGTTAAAAAGTTATTAAGTAGTCGATTAAACAACTATACATGTCACTAAGACATTTATATGCACAGTAATTTTAAGAAAAGAAAAACATTTGATAACAATGTACATTATCACAGTATTTGCTTTGCTGTCATAGAGCTTTACATCATTTGTTTTCAAAAATATGATTGTAATTGTAGGACTCAAAATGAGACAGGTGATAAAGCCCAGTCCTCAACAGAAGAAGAATCTGAGCCGGAATCTGATGTGGAACTCGATATGGATGGTAATTATTATCCTTACTAATAAAGTGATTAACTGATCAGAAATGTTTGAGAAAATAATTACTTAAATCACTTTCACAACGCAGGTGTGTTAGAAGGTGATTCTATTGGTGATGACCAGTTAATGGGTGATTCTAACAAAGAACCGTCTGATGAAGACCGTGACAAATCTGACGAGAAGCGATCAGAAGCTATGCGAGCCTTCTCTGATCAACAGTTTGAGGAAGCTATCAAGTTGTACACTGAAGCCATTCAACTTAATCCACAAAGCGCTTTGTTATTTGCTAAAAGAGGACAGGTCAGTAATATTGAAATGTTCTTTTCATTGGTAAAAAAAAACAGCAAGCAACACACCATAATTCTGATTGATAAATATGAAAAAAAATTAAAACATTTAGTGCCAGTGCAATTAATATGTATGAAATAAACGTAAAAATGTTTACACTTTACAGGACTCATTATATGTCCAATTTTAGTATGGTAAATGCTATTCTGTATTTAAAATTCCAACTCTATGATATGGTGTGTTCCTATATTATTATAATATTAGCTGTCACCCTCAACTCCATCCAATCAAAATTAAAATAAATCTAATTAGTAGCCTATGTATTCTTTGAAGTATTTTCTACACCTATGACAAATTTCAACTAGATCCATGCAGCCATTCTAGAGATACCTTCTAAAAAAACATGCATTCACAAATAAATCCAAACATTTGCATTAATAATATTAGTAAGGTATTTTATATAATGATTTTAGGTATATTTAAAACTGAACAAGCCAAATGCTTGCATCAAGGACTGTACCCGAGCTCTGGAGTTGAATTGTGATAGTGCTGCTGCTTACAAATTTAGGGGACGGGCTTACAGGTACAAATTGATCTTTTATTTACTTCTAAGATTTACAATTTACTGTAATTTTCTACTGCTAAAACATTATAAAATAAAATGAGAAAACAATTAAAACTGGCATCTCTCCATAACCAAATTATTGATGATTGATTTCAATGTGTTTGTTAAACTTTAACAAACTAATGTTAAACATTAAGCTATAAATATATAAATTGTACAGTAGCTTTTGCCTCCAAGTTCGTTTGTGTGGAATTAAATAAGAAATCTTTCTTCAGTTCGCAAAATCTACAAATAAATGTGCGCGTTGAAACCAAACCATCTGTTTTACCCAGCTCGGACGTGCCCGCGGGCGGCCTTCCGAGTCCGCGCGAGTATAAGCGACTCTTTCGGTGCATATTGTGAAATTCTGATTAGATTTCTAAAAGTAAAGTCTAGTCTTATATTCAAGCTAATTTTTATTCCTATATATATGAGATTACCTAGGACAAACTTGGGATTGTAGGCAAAAAAAAAAATTGGTTACATTATTTGTAATGTAAAAACATGAAAATTTTGTTTTGATATTACATTTTATTTCAATCTTGTATATCTGTATATCTATGAAGTTCCTACTAATATATATATTCTACTTTAACAGATTGCTGGGTAAATTCGAAGAAGCATCTCATGATCTGTGTGAATCTCTTAAGATTGATTATGATGATCAAACTAATGAATGGTTGAACGATGTTAAACCTAATGCTGAAAAACTGCGTCAACACAAACTCAGCGTTCAGCGTAAAAAGGAGGAAAAAGAGGTAAAAATTAATTTATAACACTAATTAATTTTGCATAAGTGTAAAGTAAATTTAGACGTGACATAAATGAAAAATAAGCACATTGCAATACATTTTAAAATAAATTTTGTACTTAATTTACCATGCTACAAATTTCTACCCAGCAAGCAAAATGCTCATCAAGTAAAATACGCTAGTTCCACAACTTGCAGTAACTATAGGTACTCTACTAGCGTTACATTCTCAACATATGTATTATATAATTTTACTTCAACATTTTGCAGCACCGTGAAAAGTTGCGTAGATTGCGCAAAGCTCAAGAGGCCAGGTCAAATGCAGCTAAGGCGCAGGCGCAGGCTAATGCGCAATCCACCCCAACTGGTGGCATGCCTGGCGGTATGCCGGGTGGCATGCCCGGAGCTGGACCTTTCCCACAGGGCTTCGCGGCTAATGATTTAGGCAGCCTTTTGATGGATCCTGAAATTATAACTGCATTCCAGGTGACCTATTAATTACGATTATTTTTTCTATTTTCTTTTAAATACATTACTGCGAACTCAGGTTTTTGTTATGCAATATTACACACACAGTTACATTGTCTACATAAATAGAATAATGAATACGTGAGTAAACTCCTTTACTAACCATAACTTGCAAAATATACATAGGATTGGAATAATGTTCTCTAAAATCACTGCCGCATTCAGAATTGTTAATTGGACTTAAAGCAGGCACTATGTGGTGATTTCTCATACAATGACTACACTATGGAGAACACTTAACGACTCTGCATTGCACAGATAACTTTGAGCCGCCTAAAAGTTAGTTGAGTGCCTACTAAATATGAACTCTTCAAAGTCAAAACTAACAAATATACTATTTCCAGGATCCCGAAGTGATGGCAGCATTCCAAGACTTGTCAACAAATCCGGCCAATTTCGTCAAATACCAGAGTAACCCAAAGATTGCTGCGGCCATTCAAAAATTGCAAGCAAAACTTGGCAAAGGTGGTTCCATGCCTTTCGGTGGTGGCGCAGGTTAGTATCCTTTGTTTTTTCCAAAACCTAAATTAGGTAGAGGCATGTGAAATTCCATACATGGCGGCCATTTTGTTATTTGACGTATTTAATTATTGTAAAAGTGTAGTTACATTCTAAGTATTAATATGGTAGGGTAAAGTGATTTTCCAGTTTTTTTTTTAACTAACGACTTTTAGCGTTAATTGTACATTATCCATACCCTCTGAAATACATCCATCCATCCAAATATTCGTATTTTTAACATTAGTATGGTGTAGTTGTAAGTACTAGTGATATTTGATGTTTTTTATTTCAGCTTTTGGAAAAGGACCCAGTGATGATGATGTTGGTCTTGACTGAACAAACTGTGCGGAGATACATTAAAATTGATGAAAATAATCATTGTCACTATTTCTTTTAGATTAGCTATTCACTTTTATGAAAAAAAAAATATTACATTAAATTTAATGAGTGTGTAATATGCATTTATGTAAAATGTGGTCGGTGGAGGGAATGGTGCCTAAAATGTGCTCATTTATCATATTAAAAAAATAAAAATATAAAATATAACAGAAAAAATTACGCCTTTATATTTATTATTGCATTTAAATTATATTACAACAAAAATTATTATCACAGTTCCTAAATTTTTGATTTGCTAAATAAATATGCTTTTAATCAGTGCTGTGAATAAAAATAATTCTCGTCCATAACACTACTACTAGTAGATTTTTTTTAATTGTTTAAATTTTGTTTTAGCCATATTAAAAGCTTTAGTGTACAACTCAGTGCAAATATATTAATATTTTATGATTTTAATTCGTATGTAGACAGGCATTTGCCATGATTTTTTTTAAACTGAAATAACATGTTTTTGTACAAGTACCGAAAGTGGCATCCCGCTGTCGCCTTTATATTAATTTCCAGGGCGTCAAACTTACATTTGCTTGTCTAAATGAGAAAGTTTGAACTTTTAATTTTTAACTAAAATAAATGCCTGTTTACATATTAATTAAAATCAAAAATTATCAATTGTTGGAGATATTTCAAATAATTATAAAATGTTTTAATTGGTGTAATGTTATTGACCTTTACCAAAAAGGCTGAAGTTTTTTGATGTCATTTAATTTAAGAATTTACTAACACATTTTAGTTGTATTTTTTGAACTTACTTTCATTTAAATTTTAGTCTTTAAAGAATTTTGTTTAGAAATGATACATTTATGTACTGGCTGATCATACTTATAAATTTTATTTTTAACAGTTAATAAAAGTATTTAAAATGTTTTGGCGTTTTCTTTTTGTGATATTACATTCTTATTAATTTGTGGGGCTGTAGACCCCACTTTCAAGTTGTTACTCAGTTGGTAGGACACTGCTTTATAAATTAAAGTACTTCCTAAAAATGTATTGTAGAGAACCGTGTGAACAATTATTTCCTCCTATTTATTTTATCAAAATACACAAGCGAAATATGACATTATTAGGAGTAAAAAAAGAATGATCAATTTAAAATCTACTTTTTATTCACATTAATAAATTAAACATCATTTATTCTGCCCCAACCTAACCTTATTTTCTTTTCATGTAATTTGAGCCAAGAAGGCATGCTTTGTGGCAATGATTGAGCATTGGGGAACTTCAGTGGAGGTGGTGGTGCCTTGAATGGGTCTTCATTTTTAAGTTTCCGGAGCAGATATTCCTTCTTTATTTGTTTGGGATCTCTGTACTTATCCATGTATAGGTTGAAAGGCTTTCGAAGAGGGAACCATTCTTGTGGCCTTATGTAAGGTGGTGCAAAATCATACTCATAAACTGAAATAAATATACATTTTGTATCATACTGTTAAAAAAACTAGTAAGCTAAAAATATAACCTACATTTTTTTTTATATTATTAGGTAGTAAGCGAGCAAGCGGCCACTTTAATTCGTCGAAATGGCGAAGCGACCGCTGCCCATAGACATTCACAATTGCAGATGTGTTTTTTACCTTTAATCAAAGGATGTGGGATGCAAGTAAATAAAAATATTTCCCTATCCTATGCATCCTCCTCTGTCAAATCCACATCATTTTCCCATCGTTCAATCTCATCAGACAGTGTAAGTAATTTTGTGTTTACAAAATTACTTTTACTTGATGCTTTTCTTCTGTGTGGTTGTGGTATTCCACCAGGCAAAGCGGCCATTTTGTCCAACTGACGTTGTTGCTGGCATTTACCAATTTTACATGAATCATGAAACAAAACTAGACATTTAAAAACTAAAGTGGTATGTTGTTTTAATGTGGATGTGTATAGGGTAAAAAGCTGAATAAATATGCAGGTTAAATGAAATGGCGAAAGGTCACCAGTGTGACTTGTGATCCAAGAATGCTAATGAAGCTTAAGGGACAGATCTACAAGTCTGTCGTATTGTATGCATCTGAATATTGGGCCACCAAAGTTTCGGATGAAAGATGATTACACATTGCTGAAATGCATATGCTAAGATGGATGTGTGGTGTGACAGGCAAGGATTAAGTTAAGAATTTGTATATTAAAGGAAGTTTTAATGTAGAGCCAGTGATCAAGAAATTGAGGAGTAAAAGGTTAGCATGGTGATGGTCATGTTATGCGAAGGGATGATGACAATATACGCAAAAAAGTAATGTGATTGAATGTGGATAGCTACAAAGGTAGAGGAAGACGAAAAAAAGTATGGATGGACTGTGTAAAAGTGGATATGCACAAGAAGAGGGTAGATTCAGATATGACGGCTGATAGAGATGTATGGAGGAGTAGTACATACTGTGGGACCCACCATAGGGATAAGGGCAGGTTGATGATGATGGTGTATAGTGTCAAAACATAATATAGCACTTTGTGAATTCATTCATACATTTACAATTTGCCTAGACATATTGCAAACATGCAGCATTTAAGACCAGTTGGTGACATACAGAATGCCTTTTTTACTTTTTCTATATTTATAGAGCTTTTAAGTCAACCATATTAAAACTGTAATAAATGCTTAAAAAAGGAATACCTGGCTCCTTTCTTTTCAGAATATTGTGGAAGAAGTCTTTGACAGTATAATCCCAATCGGACTGATAGAAAGCTAATCCAGACGGTGTAATGCTGTCTTGATGCTTTTGATACCAATCTCTTGTCACGAAAGTTCTGTCTTCAAGAGGTGATGATGATGTCACTGTAATTTTAAATTAGTGAATCTTATGATAGGAACACTTTGAGAAAATTCTTAGGTAAACTTTATTTTTAAATCTTATAAAAATACTTTTCCTTATGAATGCATGGAATCTTACCATTTTTAAGATTATATGAAATTTTTTCAGTTTGTTTATACAAAACAAACACGTATCTATGATATCCTGTTCCTTTCAGTGGAAATGGACGAAGGTACTCTACAATAGTATCACCCTTTTCTATATTGTTACTAGGAATATTTGCCACTAGCCAATGTACATACTCTTTATCATTTTCTGTTAAGTGTCCATCTAAACTTGTCAAAACAAGTGTCCATAGTACATTATCATCTGATTCATATGCAACTGATGGCTGTTCTCCCGCTTCTGCCGGTTTTATTACATTACCTGTATAAACTGGAAGATTTAGACCATTCTTCAGGTCATAGTGTATATCTAAATTAACATGAGGTACAAAATAGCCTTCTCCATAAAGATGTTCATAAATTCCATAATGCTCAGCTATTTGTTTTTTATGGTTTGGTCCAAGAGTTTGCAACCATTCTTTCCTGGCTTCCTCTAGATTAATTTCCAATTTATGATTACGAGCTAAATGCTCTAGCTCTTTATCACTTTTCAATTTTTTTAAATGTTCTAAGCGGGCAATTTGTGTTTTTTCAGAATTGCTGAAAATATACACTGATGACACATTTCGTCTATTTATAGGATTCATTTAAAATTATAAGGATACTTACATTGCACGCGGAAATCCTATATCTATTCGTGTTGTGTATAATTCATCTTTATAATTTAGTTCATCTAAACGTTCTTTTATAGTTCTACAAAATATTGGTGCCTTACCCCTAACTCTATGACCTAATCGTATTTGTTCGAGTTGTATATTATTTATGAAAGGTTTCCGAAAAACCTTAAGCATTGTAAAAACTTGGCGCAATCGTAATTAGATTTCAAAATAATAAAACCTAGTGCACTTGTTTGATTTATTGGTTATGTTAATTTATTTTGAACGTAAATGACAAATGTCAAACTCAGTTTTAATGACTTACATAGATTGTAGAGAACCATGAGGGTATGTCACTGACCTTCTTAAATAGACAGGCTTTAAAAAAAAGTATTTGTGCTTATATGAATTTCGCCATAGTAGCGCTAACTAATAATAAACATAGAATTAACTATCTTGTAACATCAACAGGAGCGTCGAAATCGTAACAAAGCAAAAACATTTCCAAGCCTATGCCCTAACCATTTATAGAGATTAGTGGTTGGACATAATATCCATATCCGCTTTGCCTACTTGAGAAAAAATGCTTTTATTTATTGCGTCGTCTATGTGTTGTCGTAAATGTGAGTGTAGGAAAACTTAATCATTGGAGTTATTAAGTTAAATACAAAGAAGCCCGCCAACACTACAGAGTAGAACCGAATGACATCTTTATTCTTCAATATCGATTAAGCCGACTACGCTACGTGCGCTATATATAATTCAAATATACCCGCGAAAATTATTGTCTACTGTCTTGTTAGTTCAGTAAAAGTTAACGGAAGCACCTGTTTCTATGCAATGATTGGACTGGATAGGGGTCTGGAATAAATAAAAAAAAAACAAAGTCCTGGTTTTGGCTATTCTTAGATTACCCTTTACATAACATAATATACAACACACATTAGTATAAATCAGACGGAAGGATACATAAGCATATCGTATTTTGTATTATTTATTTTGTTTTAAATGCAAAGAAAGAAGATTACCGAGGAACTATTTGGCACAGAGAGTGGCAGTGTTAGTCGGGGCCGTCATAGTGGGACCTATACCTATACCGTCTAGAAGAGAAATACTCACGAAGTGGATGGTGTATGAATATAGAAGAAACGAGAGTGTTGTGTCAGGTCATATGGAACTTCGTGCCTACCCCTCGGGGGTACGGGCGCGGTTTATATTGTATGTATGTATCGTAAGTTGTTTTATTGGGATTTTTAAATGTTCGTTCCATTATGATCTCTACTATTGGCTATATCAATTTCGAAGTACAATTTGTTGAATTTTATTGGATGGATGTTACATTCTTTACTGCATTTAAGCTTTTCGATCCAACATACTGTTACAACTTACAACTTCGTAACATACTGTTACGGGGTACGCACCGTATACTTTACTGCTATCTTTTTAGTATTTTCAAAATGTTATTGATAGATGGCGTGCGGTAGGAAAAAGTGCCAAGATTGCCTACTAACCTGCCATTGCCTTACCTGTCATATTATATAAAGCGATGGAAATGTTAATAAAAATAAATTTAAATTTTAGGATAATTTGACGTGAAAACAATTTTATTGTATGTATATTGATGGACTTTAACATTAGCGCCGGGCATGGCTGGGCAGGCCAAGGAAGTAATTTAATTGATTGACGCTGCCAACATGCCAGTTACAATTTTTTCTGTGGGTTCTGTACACATTTTAAGCGTACACTACAATGTGCAGTGGTAATGAAAGAACCATGAACCAATAGAATTCATTGCGCATTTGGTGTAGTATTTCTGTTGTGTGTCTGTTGCTTTTGCTCTCTTTTATGCATTACTGGGACGGGACGGGACGATTAGTTCAGTTAAATTGCGATCTTGCCTTGCAATGGCGAGTGTATCTTGAAAATACCTTAGTGTTTATTATTATAAAATACCACTTTGTGATTTGTGAACTACAAACAATTTCGATTAAAGTTTAAACGTAAATCATCAAACACTTAACTATAGGTATGTCTCGGAGTAGTAGTGAGGATATTATGTTTTTGTAGAATCCATATGTGTCAACATAATAAAGTGAACAATTCTCCAAGTTCGAATTTTTAGGAGCCATTTACACATGGCGAGAAGTCACGTACTCTAGTGAAATGATAATTGTTGGTAGATTGTGAAGGAAAATATATTTTTGAGTTTCCATTAACAGTAATAGAAATGGATAGTAAGAATATTCAAAAAAATGCGATGCAGAAAAGTGCAGAGTTTACTTTTACTCCACCACCCGAGGCACCCGTATTTGAGCCTACGCTTGAAGATTTTGCGGATCCGTTAGGCTATATCGCTAAAATTCGGCCTGTTGCTGAAATAACTGGAATTTGCAAAATAAAGCCTCCAGCGCGATGGCAGCCACCGTTTTCACTAGATGTAGACAAATTGAAATTTGTACCACGAATACAAAAAGTAAATGAATTGGAAGCCATTACGCGACTGAAATTGTTATTTCTCGAAAAAATTTTGAAATTTTGGGAATTGCAAGGCTCTCCCTTAAAGATACCTATGATTGAAAATAAGACTTTAGATTTATATTGTTTAAAGTTTTGGGTGGACGAAGAAGGTGGTTTCGAAAACTGTAATACTCCGAAAAAATGGCGTAAGATTGCTAACTCAATGGGGTATAGTCAAAATACGAACACAATAAATTTTCTTAAAATTAATTATGAGAAAATTTTGCTTCCTTATGACATTTTTGAAAAAAGTAAAGCCGATATATTGAAGACTGTAAAAAAGACTGAAACTAAATCTGAAATAAAAGATGATGGCGACGCATCGAATCATTCATTTAAAGAAATTTCAATACAAAATATCACGGGTTTTAAAGGAGATTGTGAAGATATGATACCCCATACAAGTATTAAAAAAACTAAAACTGGCTCAGATATTAAAACTGATGTGAATACAAAAAATATTTTGGAAACTGAGGAAACTAAATGTAATAGGGAACTCAGAAGGCTAGCTTGTTATGGACCTGGCCCTAAAATGCCTGGTCTAAATGATGAAGAATTTGATATAACAAAATCTAGAAAAAGGCCCAGATATGATTTAGATCCACTGGCAATTTATGTATGTGCTATTTGTCAAAAAGACCACACTGATAATCTTTTGTTAATATGTAATGGGTGTTCTGATACTTATCACACATTCTGCTTAAAACCACCTTTAAATACTGTTCCTGATGGAGACTGGCGTTGTCCATGTTGTATTGCAGAAGAAGTGCACAAGCCAGCAGAGGCTTTTGGATTTGCTCAAGCTGAAAGAGAATACACACTTCAACAATTTGGAGAGATGGCTGATAAATTTAAGTCTGATTATTTTGGTATGTCTGGCCATCTAGTCCCAACATCGGTTGCTGAAAAAGAATTTTGGAGGATAATATCATCTGTGGAAGAAGATGTTACAGTAGAATATGGGGCAGATCTGCATTCAATGGATCATGGTTCCGGTTTCCCAACTAAGTCTTCATTAAATCTTTATCCCGGTGATCAAGAGTATGTAGATTCAGGCTGGAATTTAAATAATCTTCCTGTTTTGGAGGGTTCAGTGTTAAGATTTATTAATGCTGATATTTCTGGCATGACAGTTCCATGGATGTATGTTGGCATGTGCTTTTCTGCATTTTGCTGGCATAATGAAGATCATTGGAGTTATTCTATTAATTATTTACATTGGGGTGAAGCGAAAACCTGGTATGGTGTTCCGGGAAGTGGAGCTGAACTGTTAGAGAATGCTATGAAGGCTGCTGCACCGGAGCTCTTCAAATCACAACCAGATTTACTTCACCAGTTAGTCACCATAATGAACCCAAACATACTAATGGCAGCAGGGGTACCTATTTATAGAACTGATCAACAGGCTGGTGAATTTGTTGTTACATTTCCCAGAGCATACCATGCTGGTTTTAATCAAGGCTATAATTTTGCAGAAGCAGTTAACTTTGCCCCACCTGATTGGCTCAAAATAGGTAGAGAGTGCATAATTCATTATAAAAACTTAAAAAGATTTTGTGTTTTCTCTCATGATGAACTTATTTGTAAGATGGCTTTGGAAGGTGATCGTTTAGACTTGGAAACAGCATTGGAAACCCAGAAGGAATTAGTTAGAGCGACAGAAGAAGAAGGTAGATTAAGAGCACAGATTGCAAGCAAAGGTTTGAAAAGTGTCCGAAGAACAGCATTTGAATTGCTAGGTGATGATGAGCGGCTCTGTGAGATATGTAAGACAACTTGTTTCCTGTCTTCAGTATTATGTACTGACTGTAAGCACATGGCTTGTCTGCAACATGCCACTGATGCATGCCAATGTCCATTGAATAAAAAAACTCTTAACTATAGATATGACATGGATGAATTACATATTATGTTACAGACCCTTGACTTTCGGGTTAACAGTTTTGATAAATGGATGTCAGAAACAAAGAAAATGTTACTACCAACCGCCCCTGATATTGGCAGAGTGCAAAAGCTTAAAGTTTTATTAGATGAAGCGGATGAATTAAAAATACCAAAGTGTACACTATTAACTCAGCTAAAGAATGAATATACTGCAGCCACTGAAAATGTTGAACCAATTATCATTGAATTGGATGATGATTAAAATATTCCAGTATGTATGTTAGTACAAAATGATTGTTCACTTTTCTAGAATTAATATAGGTTGTTTTATCACAAGTGTGTCAACAAGCACTAGACTATTTTTAAATTATTTTTAATATTTCGGCAGCTTTGTAATTTTATGCGAAGCTTTTCATGATAAATATACACTTAGTTAACTAAAATTTCTAATAGTATGTTTCCTTTTGAATTTTTTCTACATGTGATGTCTTTTCTCTGTCATAGTAATATGTCACTAAATATAATTACTATATCAAAATGTGTGTATATTTTGAAGTTGTTTGTAGTTTAAAACCTTACAAATTAATGTATCTAAAAGTTAGTTTTATATAATATCCCACCGTTTTATAAATGTAACTAAGTATTTGGTACTCAATTGTATTACACATATGACATTTGTAATTTTGTGTATGTGAAAGAGATGTTTTTTTTAATTGACTATAATGGGAGTAGCAAATGTGATCTCAAATCTATTAGTTATGTAGTACATGGTACCTAATTAAAAACATTAGGGCAATAAATGGACCTTTTGAAATATAAAATCACAATTTTTTCATAAATTTTTTTTATAAAACAGTGGGCTTAGAAATAGAATTTAATATAAGACAAATATGTATTAACTAAAGCCCTATAGTCATAAAAATATTGGGTATATAAGTATAGGTTCATTAAATTAGATTTAAAGACATTTTGATTGGATTGCATATTTTAGACATTGGAATTTTGCATTTTAAGTAGCATAGTACTCTACGGCTTGAACAAACAAAGATTGGAACACATTAATATAAAGATTTTAAAACAATTGCAGATAATTAATCATATATTTTGATAATCAATACTTCAACCCTACAGTATGCTACTTATAGATACAGTGTGGTCTAAATTATTGTTTTTATTGATTGAATGAAAGTAGGTCTAAATATAATTTTAATTTATGGGCAAATAGTAGTGATGCAAAAAGCATTAATAAGTATTATCAATTGATAAGCAATGCTTGAGTAAATTAAAAGTAATTTTATTGAAATTGCGTTTAATTTTACATAGTTTAAATTCTAGACAATTTTGTCTACAATTAAGAAAACATCTAAAATTTGAAATATTTAAAATTAATCGCTAGAAACTAAGGTAAATACACTTGTATAATTGTATTTACGTAAAAATTAGAATTAATATAATTCAATGTTTACTTAGTACCTTATATTATGTTTTAGTATTTTAAAAATGAGACCTGTAAATCTCAGGGTTTAATTTTTCTTAAAGAAAGATGATGTGTAAGGCGCAAAGACAGGATAGAGTTTATATTTTTAATTATTTTGACCCTAAACAGTGAACTTAGGTCCTTGAAGAGTATACTTCGTTTTTTTTGTTAACTTTGATTGAGTTGTGTCTGGTCTAGTGAATGGTTATGTTGTGTTATATGAAGAATCTTATAATAAAGATATTTGTTTGTATACCCAGTGATGATTAAAACAATTACAGCACAAAATAATTATTACATTGCAAATTTTTCTTATGCCATAGAAATTCCCCGAAGGCTATTGAAATAGAATCTTAAAGGCTATGACTAGATATGTAAATATTAAAGGTCAAAATAAATATAAGCCAGTATTGCTATCTATTGTAAGTTTATGGTTTAAAATTTTAATTTATATGATTTTGTTTCATGGCTAAAAACTCAATATCATTGAGTCATAGTTTATGCTTCATTTGACTGATTATGTTTCATGTAATTTCAATTTAATATTAAGTTAAATATTATGTTCTTAATTTGTGATTTTATTCTGTGATTGAACTCCATTGGCATTTCTGTGGCTTAACAATAAGCTGTTGTATGAAAAATGAACTACAGAATACTTTGTGTTCTTATGTATTAGACATTTATAATTCATCAATTGATTATTATGAAAAATAATGTCCATAAAAAAACTGATTTATCCAACTGTAAAAAGTAGATAAATATGTCCTTAAAGATATATGTATAATGAAACACATTATAACTGTAATTTTATCATTAAAATTCTTAATAACTCTTCCTATTATTTTATTTTAACCTTGTCCTCTCTTACGTTCTCTTTGAAAAATCAGAGACGGCATTATGTTTGTACATTTGTACAATATATAACACCTGATACCATATTGACATACCAAATCCTCAGAACCATTATTGTACTTGGTGACTAAGATAAGGACATAAATAATGGCTCCATTTTCTTTTTTCCCATTCCACCTAAACAACTACCGCCAATATCCATTGCGAAGACCTCCATAGTTTTAAAAAAAATATATTTTACACATTTTTCGGCAGTGGAAACTCTTTTTGACAGTTGCAGATATCCAAGTGGAAACGCACACACACCATTCGCGGTTTCAGGACCTATAAAAGCCTAAAGCTGTTTAAACTATCGGTGGTAACTTGACTTCAATTTGATAATCAAAGCATTAACAATTATATGAGATATAGGGAGTTATGTTTAAATATAAAAATAAAGTTTTTAAGCAGTGCCTTTATTACATAAAATAGTTTAAAACGTAACAAAAATAAATTATTCGATTTGGTGTTATATAAAAATAATCACATGAATAATATTAATTAAATAAAAAAAACTACAAAATACAGTAAGTACAGTGCCATACTTAATCAAATATTTAGAAATGCATATTATGATTTACATAATTTTTTCATTATTAAAGTACGTAGGTAAGTACATATTTTAGTAATTAATAAGAAAATCACAATGTTTTCTATAGTTACATAAAAGTTAATAAAAATACTTAAATATAATGACCACGATTTACTGTTGAGAATGCTATGTGGAAGATATAATTGACAAAAATTCGTAAGAAACATAAAAACATCTGTTTTTTTTTTAAAAAAGAGTTGAAATTATGAAGACAAATTTCTACCATGGTTACTTAACTCAGTTTTACAATGAATTCAGTTTTATCTAAAACAAGAAATGTCATGATATAAGTACGTGTTATCACAACCTAAGGTATTAGACTATTAATACTGATAATTAAAAGATTACATACTAAAAAAATATTTAGCAAAACAATACCTTATCTATGACGTTTAAATCAGTATTTATATCAGTCAGAAGGGACTTTAATACACAAAGACTTACAAGCAGGCCTTTTTTTGTCACTTCTTTTTGGGAAACACAGATCCTCGAAAGATTTAAGTACATTATTTAAAAAAAAAACAATTCACACAGGACACCAAAACCTTTTTATAATTATTTTTTTCAGTTATAGAATTTTTCGAAATTTCCATTGGTTGCACAAGATGATCCACGTGATTGCTATACTAATTAAGAATTCATTTACAAGCAATCTAAAGATTTCATGCCAATATTAATTTTAATTGCTAAACAAAATTCAACATAAGGCATCTAGTACAAACATATATAAAATTTTACTCATCAATTTTTTATGATGAATTTGTCAAATTTCATCTAAGAATAAAAAAAAATCATATAAACCAATCACACATAAAATATGTATAAAAATGTCTTACATTCTAATAATATGGAAATATTAATCTCGTCAATAAATTATTCTTATCATTATTAGATACAAAAAAATAATCATCTTAATTATAAAAATTTCGTTCGGAATTACGTTACCTTATTTACTATTAAGTATGGTTATGAGATTTAAAAAAATTGCGTTAACCTTATACGTAATTATCGTGACGTCACGTTGTACATCAACCGCCGATCTCTTTAAATGGATTGATTGGAAATAACAGCTTTTACTTAATTCAGATTTAAACATGCCAGTTGATATTACGTGACATTTAATTGTATCTTAAATCCATATATCTATAAACCGCTATTATGAGCGCCACAATGGCAAATGGCATAAAGGCACAAAATCCTACGCCTTATAGCCAGTCCATTTATAGAGGTCAGTGACAGCAACCGACATAGCTATATTCGTAAGTAGCACTAGAGATCTGACGGCGTGACGTCTTTATTTCAAGGTCACATGTTATTGTGAGGTAACACTGAACCCTATAAATATCGCAGGACAGGTCGTTGCTTGGAAATGACAGCTTTTGCTTCGTTCCATATTTAAAGCACCTATTGAAGTTACTGACAGTTTATTCTATCTCTAACCGTTGGTTTCTCAGATCAATATCTCTGTATAAAATATATCATCCTTGTCATTATCTTTGACAAAATAGAGATAACAATATGTTTAAAAAGGAGATTTTGGTCTCAGAACGGTTATTAGTTCAAATCACCAGTTACCTTCAGCGCCAAAATGGTGAAAATCAAATAGGCACAAAATACCACGGCTTGTAACCTGTCCAGTACATTATAAAGGTCAGTGAATAATAGTAATTAATTAATATAATAACAAAAATTAAAAACACCTTTTGTTTACATTAAATTGATTATGAGTATTGAGGTATAGGACGGAAGTTAACAACAGTCTTAAATAATACTTAAAAATAGTTCATTGTAAATATTCGAAAAAGTCATGTTACAAAATATTACAATGTTATATAATTAATATATTAATAAACTTGTATTTTCATTGTAAATATTACTAATATTATAAATGCGAATGTTTGGATGTTTGTTTGAAGGTATATTCATAAAAGCTGAACGGATCTTGATGAAATTTGTCATACATATAGAACATAGTCCGAAAGAACTCAAGACTTATAAAAATGTTTTTTTTTTTAATTCCACGCGGACTGATTCGCGGGCGACAGCTAGTTAATATATTGGAAGGGCTTGTAGACGTTGTTGGTGACTGGATTAGATTATCTTATTTTAGTAAAATTGTTTGAATTTTGCGTAAAAAAGCGACTTAGTACTTCGTAATATTAGTGACTGTGTTTGACATTAAATATTGTTAGTGTGTGTGTATATTAAGTAGTATTAGTGACGGTTTCCCTCATCTCTCTGCCTTTCGTCTCTATAGGCAGAGCGAGGCAGGCGAGCGCCGCTAAGAGAGCTGCCATAGAGTACACAGCTGTCGCGATCACAATCGAGTTCTTCAATAAAACCTGTAACATATAAACACTGTTTGTAGTAACTAAAGAAAAACTTAAATATATTTTTCATTTTATGAGAAAATCAAAACCTATCTGTTTGGGCAAAAAAAACTGTAATAGTACAGTATACATGGTGAAAAGATTCAACGAACTTCAATATAATATCTTAATAAAATTTAATAAATGCGAATGTGTGAATGTAAGTTTAATAGAAAGTATCTCCAGAACAGCTGCATGAATTTGATGAAATTTGGTATAGATATAGAACACTGTCAAGAGGAACCTATCAGCTGGCTGGGTGCCTAAATCTACCTATCTCGGTTATGTGTACCGTTCCCGTGGGATACCTTTGTTTTTATATATCAATTGATAACTCCCCAACAGTTCAACGCATCTTATTGAAATTTGGACACACATCGTACTTATAAATGCGAACGTTTAGATCCGATAGATGGATGTTTGTTTGCTAGAAAGTATCTCCGGAATGGCTCAACGGATCTTGATGAAATTTGGTACAGATGTAGAATATAGTCTTCAAGGCCACTAAGTTTTATTTATTTCGCGCAGACAGAGTCGCGGGCGACAGCTATTGGAACATAGTTTCGAGTAACACATGAGATACATTTTAACTTTTTTTTTAATTCTGCCTAGACTAAGTGACGGGAAAAAGCTAGTATAGTATAAATGTTGAATATATTTAGTGTACCTGAGCTACATAAGGTGTAATCATAGCACCAAGTCTAGCGACGCCGCTGCAGGCACCAACCGCGGTCGCACGCAGCGCAGTCGGGTACACCTAACAATTATAACATCTTACTAATATGCAAATGTTTAGTTGGATGGATGGATATTTGCTTAAAGGTATCTCCAGAACGGCTCAACGGATCACGATGCAATTTGGCATACATATAGAAAATAGTCTGGAAGAATACATAGGCTACTGATTAAGATTTTTTTAAATTCCGCGTGAACAAAGTCGCTGGCGACAGTCAGTAATATTATAAAAGCTGTCAAAAGAACCTAGGTTACCTGACTAATTTAGACTAAGCTTTGTACCTCGTTTGCTTTAGTTTCGACAACTATAGTTAAAAATGTACAAGATTTCTAATTTGGAACTTGTCCTATCGTTAGTAATCTCTCTCTCTCTCTTCAGCCATATGACGCCCACTGCTGGGCATAGGCCTCCTCTAAAGACCACCACGATGATCCTGTGCTACCAGCATCCTGGATACTACCACAACCTTGACTAGGTCTGTTTATCTTTCGGGAGACCTGCCCTCGCTGTCGTTTTTTCGGCCTACGTTAGTACTAACGATAATTATTTAAGACAATCCAAACCTTTTTTTTTTTAGATCTTTTTAAAGCATAGTAACGTACCGCAACGTAACCGAAAAATAAAAGAAAACAAAATTAATGGAAATTAATCGAATTATTTATGTAAAAATGTTACCTCGGGCGTGTAGACATATGCTGCCTGGAATAAACCGGCGATGATGCCGCGCGCCAGGAACAGAACACAAGTCAGGAATGTTCGGCTGAAATTAAATATCCAATTTTACTTATATTTAAGTTAAATAATTTGCTCATATATATATATATATATAAACTTAGAAAGTGTACGAATAAAATTAGAGTGTTACTATTAGGAATAACTTATATAATGTTTTTTGGTATTTTTATATTATTAACTATTTGTAAAATGAACAAATAAACTCACTTCGTATTATATATAAGAACGCATACACAGATCGCAAATATAACGAACTGAGAAGCCATTGTGCGTTTCCGACCGCATTTCTCGATAATGAATATCGTAGCAAAGATACCTGGAATTAGAAATACATGGAAATTAAAAAAAAAAACAATCAGTAACAATAAAAAGAAAAACTTTCGGTCTGATCAATACCAATACGTTAAAATGTTTTATGTCAGGTATTTGAATAGAAAGGAGAAATATCTTCCATCCTCTTTCCTGTGTATTATTAGTTGGCATTTTGTACAAATTTTAACTTCATCAT